CACTGGAAGGCTCAATGTCCTCACCGGCCTGGCCAGCCGGGGATGACGTTTAACCTGCCATCACCTCCTCTCACTCAATTCTCTGTCCTGAATCAGAGAGCCTCTTGTTAGGCCAGCCTGAGGAATAGTAACATAATCACAGTCTCACTTCTCCCACTTAATCAAGACAATCTCTTTGTTTCCTGCGTGATAAATGGCATCTCTACAAAATGTTTAGTAGACACCGGTGCAAGCCGCTCTACTCTTCGAGCTGAAGAATTTTCCACAACTCCCCTCTCCTCTGCTGTTGTAAATGCTGTAGGAATTTCAAATCAAATAGTTCCTCATCCTGTTTCCCAACCATTACATGTTTCTCTTGGTCCTGTTTCTGATCAACATGCCTTTCTCCTTAGTCCTTGTTCTCCTGTTAATTTATTAGGCAGAGATTTGCTTTATAAACTCGGCTGTACTATCTATTGTAAACACCTAATGGTGTTTATTTAGATGTCCTCTGTGATAATGAGATAGCGGTACTTGCCGCTTTAGCTAGCTTACCTCCTGAGCCTAAGTTCCCTGATCTTTCTGTGTTGCAAGAAGAAATCATAAAAGCTGTCCCTCCATTTCTCTGGTCCCAGCATGCTAATGAAGTAGGACAAATCCATACTGCCCAGCCTGTAAAAATTAGATTAAACCCAGCTAAGCCTTTACCCAAAGTTGCTCAATACCCTTTACGTCCAGAAGCTGAAGAAGGGATACACCCTGTTATAACTGCCCTTTTAAAGCAAGGTATCATTGTCCCAACTAAGAGCCCTTGTAATATGCCTATTCTTCCTGTAAAAAAAACCTGGAAAGAATACCTATCATTTTGTACAAGACCTTTGTGCAGTAAATTCTGCAGTTTTACCTACTTTTCCTGTTGTACCAAATCCAGCTACTATCTTGTCCTGTATTCCTCCTAATGCTTGTTATTTTACTGTTGTTGACTTGTGTTCTGCATTTTTCTCTATTCCTATACACCCTGATAGCCAGTTTCTCTTTGCATTTACCTATCAAGGACTTCAGTATACCTGGATGCAATTGCCCCAGGCCTATATTTAATCCCCTTTTTTTTTTTTTCAAATTCTGAAGAAAAATCTAGATGACATGATATTTAATGAAAATTCTGTACTTGTGCAATTTGTTAATGATTTGCTCTTGGCATCTACCTCCCTTGAAGCCTGTAAAACTGATTCTTTAACTCTCCTCCCCTCTCTTGCCCTAAAAGGCCATAAGGCATCTAAAGAAAAGATACAACTTTGTCTTCCTCGTGTCCATTATTTAGGCCATGATATTCCTGCTGGAGAACGACTGCTTTCCTCTACCAGAATAAAAGCTATTCTTAAAATCCCTAGACCAACTACTGTGTCCCAAATG